CCTGCGGGAGGGGGGCAAGACCGCCGGGGGGCAGCTCGGCCCCCCTCGCCTGCCAGTCTCGGCTCTCCGCAAGCCACTTCATCGGTTTGCCGGATCGCTTTGCCTTTTCCAAACACTGGTACCTCCAAGGCGCGCCCAGCTCTGAGACGCTGGCTCCTCCAATTTTCTCCCCAACAACAGCCCTGCGAGGTAGACCCGGTAGCAAAGTCCCCGCCCCCCGCCCAGGGGACTGAGGGGAGACTTGGACATATGTCTCCTCTGTTCTTGTCCGCTGCTTTAACCACTAGGCCATACTAGTTCCAGAAGGCGAAGGATTAAATAAACCCATAGCAAACATGAATTCATGCCAAAAATAAATGACTGCGTGTGGCAAAGGTCTAAGTCAAGAGAGAGGCTAAAGATATCAAACACTGTAAGAGTGAAAATCAGTGATTTACCTGGAAGCTGAACCAACAAAGGATGGGATGTCCCGTAGTCATGAAAAGATTTTAATTCTCTCCTGCAGGTCGTGGGAGATGCATTTATTTATACGCCAGAGGCCAAGTGAGGTCAAGCCACAGGCAAAGCCCTGATGTGGTTTGCCAATTTGTGGCTTAGCATATCACATGAGCCCAGCCAACCCTGGCTTGTTCAGTAAATCATGGCTTGGTGCGAACACAGCTGGTGCCATTCATGCTTGGCTGACGTGGAAGAAAGTGGCCTTCGGCATGTCGGGTAGCCAGAAGATGCTGCTAGAATGGGTAGGGGGAATAAGAGCCCCCTGGGGGCCTTGACATGCCTTCCTGGATGCCCCCCCCCTTCATTTAATTCCCTCTTCTGTGCTTACACCAGCGTTTTTCAAACTTGGCAAGTTTAAAGATGTGTGGACTTCAGCTCCCAGAATTCCCCAGCCAGCGTGCTAAATATTCATGCAATCAGTCACTCAGTCAGTCAATCAATCAATCAATCAATCAATCAATCATAAGTTAAAATATGGTCTGAAATAGGTCATGCAAGCATGTTTGCTGGGAGAGCCACAGGATTTCCAATTCAGTTTCAGGCCCCTGGACTTGGGGCTGGGGTGGTGTGTGTGTGCTGCTCCCGGCCTGAGACCTGCGTGCCACCGCACGGGTGCCCTCTTGCTAAGGAAGTTCAAGACCCTCCTCTTCCTGGCCCTGCTGCTCTGCTGGCTTCCCACTTTTGTTTCCCCGGAAAAGACACCAGGCACGCGGGGCAAGGGCTGGCGCTGGGGCTTCTCACGCAAAGCTGAGCAAGCATCTACCCTCCCCTGTCATCCTCCCCCCCCCTCCCCTCCGGCCCCCCCTCCCGCCGGCACTGCGCACCCTGCTCTCAAC